CAGGCTTGGGGGCTAGGACTTGCGGACTTGCGGGTTCTCTATGTAAGGCCGATTTCAATCTTGGCAGGTCTCACCTGGGATCACAACCCATCGGTTTGGAGCTGGCCGCTCAATGGTCTGGCTCTTCACCAAGACAAAGCTGGCACGAGTCTTCTCTGCAATCGGAACTGTAAGAGACAGCATCTGCTTATAACTTGGTGGTTGTTTTACCTACCAAAACACAAAGTACATGAACCATCCCAAGGCTAGGAGCAGAAAGTCCCTGAATTGCGGGGCAGTGTGCATTATGTGGGGGCCGCGACCTAAGCCCTATAGCCCAAACCCGCAAACCAAACCCTAAACCCTTAGCCCAAACCCTCAGCCCTGTAGCCTAAACTCTTTACACCATCTAAGAGTTAGCTGCAAGGTCTTGCTCACATTGTGAGTTGTCTTGCAATTTTGGCATTTCGTCGTTCTGGCTTCAGGCGCAAGGTCTTGGCACGGGCCAGAAGCCTTACCTCAGGATCCATTCAAAGAGGAAAGGGAAGAATTTGGAACCAAATGGAAAAGAAAATGAAAAATTGCATTCTACATGCTTGGACAGGTGGCATAACTGCAGCCTCAGAAATATTCCGTGATCAGATGATTGGAGGATCCAGCTACACAGCGCTCCGTCCTCTCCCACGGGCCAGCATAGGGTTTGGGTTTTGGAGACAGGGTTTAGGAATTCGGGTTTATTTACGGTCTGACCCCGTCGCCCTCCGTCCTCCCCGGTAAAGCCAGCGTCATCTGCTCAGAGGGTACCATCCATCCGCCCTCCAAGGCGTCGATCACAGCAAGAGGAGCCTGAACCTCAAGTTGACGAGGAGGGTTTAGGGTTTAGGGTCTAGTTCCTTAAAGGGAGTTACAGGGGTTGGAGTACTATAGGGGTTACTAAGGGGGATACTAAGAGTTTAGACTATGGCCTAATACGCAGAGAGCGAACCAAACAACTCCTCAATCTGCAAATTTATCAGTACACCGTAGTTTTCTTGCAGATGTGCATTCCGAATATGACTGGCGGGGGGATATCCCTGGGGTTCCTGAAATAGCTGGGGTGGATTCTTTTCCCATTCGATGTCTGGAATGCAATCCCTCGCATAAGCCTCGTTTAACCTTCGCCGCACTAGGCCTGATAGTCCTAACCCGTAAGCCCGAAACCTTAAACTATTCAAAACCACAAAGCACAAGCTCCACGCACCTGAGCACCCTTAGCCCGAAACCTCAACCCCGAACCTCAAGCCCAACCCTAGAACAAAGACCGCCTCCCTGGCCAAGTCGAACGCAGTTTTTCCCCTGGTATTCCGAATCTCAATGTCGGCCCTGGCCTCAGTCTGACAGCAGCTTACGGTTTCGGATTCGGGGTGTAGGGTTCCAGTAGCATTGTTGTGTCGCCGTCGTGACAGCTGTTTTATGTTTTTGTTGTCCTCTCTGCTCTTTCGTCAGCAGCTCCTTGGGAAGAGACTTTGCTCATGCCGGGTTCTCAGGCACCAAGACCTGGTGGATCCTGGTGGTTTGAGACTCGTTTGTGTTGGCTGTCAGCACACTGATCCTGACGCTTAGAAACTGCAGCCTGGCGAGGTATGAGGCCCTCAACCACATGCTGGTCTGGAGCAGCGGCAACGACTTGGACTAGAACACGACAAGCAGTTTGAACACTTGCCGTTCTGTTGGGTGCCTGCTTACTTTTTTAATTCTAGCCAGTTAAAACAATTCTCCTGATGTTGCTGACGCATGGGGTTTCCTGTATGAAATGACCGGTCCGAGCCGTCTATGAAATGGGAAAGGTGATTTTGTAGAGACGGCTAGATACCTCACACTGCCTTCGAACTTGCATGACAGACAGCAGGCCACTCCAAACCTTTCAATACAAACATGAAAATCCTACAGGGGACACCAGCTGCCCCCAAGAAACAACAATGCAGTTTGGAGGGCAATTTCCTTCGAAAGGTTTATAACATGGTTCAGGAAGCCAAAGCTGAATCCCTGGCCGATCTTGATATTATATTATTGCCCTGCTCTACACCCTCAAATCTACGCAGGTACGAGTCGAAGTTGTATCCCCTGCTGGTGATTTTACAGTGCTAGCATGTCCTAGAATCGGTCCATTACATAGGTTCCCGTGGTGGGAATCCACGCCAACACCCTAGACTGTATGAAATGAAGACCTGACGTTAAATCCATTGCCGGCCATTTCATAGTGCTACCCTCCACCCTCGAATCTGTGAAATGGTGAGAGGAAGTTGAAGCCCTTGCTGGACATGCTGTAAAGCTGATCAGGCATCGTCATCATCAGTACATGAAGTTTTTGCTTGGACATCCAAACGGTAATTAGCAGCAATGGGAACATCATGGATTGATTTAATTTCCTACGCCCGAAAACTCGTAGAGAAAAAATATCGTGGTTTCTCTTTTCCCCAGAGCACGCACTATCCACAGGAGCAGCAACCATGTCACTGTGTGTTTGGATTCCTGGTAACTTTGCCCAACAGAAAGGCGAAAAAGCACAAGCCGCAGGCACAGCAACGAAACAACATGGCAGATTCGTCCCACCAGCAGCATGAAGCTACCCCCAATAAAACCAAAGAAGCCAGAAACATCCAAAAGCAGGATAGCGTGTTTGACATATGCTCCAAAAGTGCAGAGCAAAGTTGTAGGCAGGGCCCGGAAAGACTTGAAGATACATCATGAACCAACATGATACTGGCTGGTGTTCTGCTTTGAAGGAATGAAAAAGGCGGGCGCTATCGTGCGACTGTATAGAACTTAAGATGGCTAAGTCATGGGTCTTTCTGTTTCTGTCCCGAGGACCTTTGAACATTTGAAAAGGCAAACCTGGTATCCTTCTTGACCCAGTCTATGGACCACTTTCTCTATAAGAAGGGTGGGTCCGACTTCTACCCCAAGGAAACAGCCCGATGTTGGTCCATTTTGAGACACTACCAGGGAATATTTGCTGCTATGCCCAAACCCTAGATTGTGAATGAAGAGCTAAATTCATGCAAGCCTCCTTAACCAGAGGAGAAGCACTTGGAAATGTCTTAAAATCATGGATCCTTTCGTGCGTACAGGCACTCCATGTTATCATCGTTCCTTGCCAATAACATCCTCAACAACAGGAAGAGATGACAGAGCCCTAAATTCTCCACCCTCTTTAGGCCCGGGCTTCCAACAGCTGGATGGTGGCCTTGAAGTAGCCACTTAGGATGCTCAACATAAGAGGCGTTGCACCGCTGTGATGGTATCCAACCTCTGGTGGAACCACAGAGGGCTTCAGCGATTTCAAGGACTGTTGGGTATGCCTTGCAAAAATCTTCATGGAAGCAATGCCTACGATTTGCAGGTGAAATGCGATTTTTAATAGAGCTCATCATCTTTCTTCTAACATGTTCATTTGATAGTCGCCGAAGCACTTTTTGTGATGCAGGGTTTGGGGCTCTAAACCAGACTAGGAGCAACCCCGTAGTCCACGATCAACAGTAAAATGCATCCTGGAGTTCGGGGGTTGACCTAATCAAACAGGAATATGTTAAGATAGGATGCAATCCCAGAAAACAAAAAATAGAACTATTTATTTCGAGCATCCCCACCCTAAAGCCGCTATTGCACAAGAAGTGT